CGTAACATGGTCCGTTAAAAATATATTTGGTCCAAAGTAAGCCACACGTGCGTAATAGACCGGGAAAAATACTCGGAATGTTCGAATGTTTTCGGAATCGGTAGTCAAAAATGTATTATTCAAGGTTGACGATGACCTGGAAACGTGACCCGTGACTGCGGAATCTATCTCCACGAACAGCCGCAGTATGTGTTTCGAAACACACCTGCAGTGGTTGGATTTCAACCGTCGTCGTTGTCGTCGTACACAAAAAGTCCATGACGACTGAAAGGTTTTGCCGCAAGTACTTCAGACGACACGATTTTTTTTCGGTCGCATTGAAATCGGTACGATGATCGAAGAAAAACAAAAATCCCATTACAAATAACCACCGAAACTTATACAATGACGCGTTCGTATGCATTGGTTTAAATTTTTTTTTAAATAAAAATAAAACCGACTGAGATGTCCTCGGTAAATGTACGGTCGAAATGTTGAAGGTTATTCATGCAAAGATATTAAATCGAACACGTTCGAAACATGCATGATAAAACTATTTTACCATCCGTATAACAGTTGGATAACGTACTAGTTTCGTTCTGACACGCTATGTAATATAGACATTTTTTTTTAATTTGAATTAATTAATTGCGACGAAACGTGGACATTGACAGTTGTAGATCGGTTATGTAGGTTATGTACACATGGACCGAGCATAATGCAAATTTATCAACCACAACAATATTACACATAAAACACATTCGAAGTCGCAAAAAGCGAAGACAGCGAAATCGATATATACGTGTTTTTAACAAAGCAGATATTCGCACAAACCGATCGCGATTACAAGTAGATTTTTAAGGATCACGCTTTTTACTTTGTCTATCGTATAACATAGGCGTATACCCAAGCGAAAACGAATGGATAGCGGAAAGCTTCTGTCACGTGACAGTTGCCATTGTGGCCACGCTGCCATACAATGGCGTAATTTAAATACATACACTCAGATGTAGACACACACACACACAATGAGCTGTTCTGTTTTTTCGTTCCACCAAACGAAACCACAAATGCTCGGAACAGTCATAAATATAGCGTCTGTAATAAAATAAATTTCTGAATATTTTTAAGTAAAATAAATTTCGTGTAAAATTACAGCGATGACGTCCGGTTGTCTGTAGCGTATCACCTATCCTCCCGTTGTGCATCCGGGTACACCCGTACGCGTTTCTATTGCACTGTAAACATTTTCGGGACCGAAATTCAGCACAAACGTTTTCTGCGAGATACGAGTGTCACGTTTCGGAAAATGTACCGTTTCCAGCACCGAAGGAAATCGTATAAGCAGGTTTTAAAAATATTACAACATCGTTATATGTCGACGGCGTGTGATAGATCGTATGGTTCAAGTGCGCGTGTATATATAGTATGCCGATTTTTTATCTGTCAGTTCGACCACAAGAGAAGTGCATACGTGTGCCGATTATAAAATATTGTACAATAACTGCAGTCACAGATTTTTGGGTTTTCCGCTAGTTGGTGGTACGGGGGGGGGGGTTATTTTTTAACACGTTTAACGATTAGAACGGTAAAACAATTGGAAAACAAATTACATTTTTACGGTTTCACGCGGTTTACTACTTAACATTATCTATTTGTGCATGAACAATTGAAAACAAAAACTGTGAAATTGAAAATTTTAAAACAAAAAATGAACTCGAACACCACATTATGATTTTTTTTTTTTTGTATAACATAATTATAGTCTGTAAGTCGTGCTTTACAACGTATCATATTAAAATTAAATACGACCACGTAAAGATTGCCGTACGGACGTACCCGAATCGGTTCAATTAAAACTTCCAAGTCGCATATTATTGGTATGTAAAAACAACTTAATACATTTGTTGTCGTTTACAACTTCGTTTGTATTATAACCGCGGTATAATCGCGCCTAACTGAATGACGAGGAGAGAAAAAAAAAAACGGTCACTCGATTTGTAGGGCCTGAACGGATACATCATATTGGGTATCGGGTAAATTGAACAGGACTCACAGCTTAGTCGTTATTAATTATATATGTCGCGTGAACCGATTTTGACATTAAAATATACTCGTATATATGAACCGTGGCTATTATTGTTAGTCCAACGGTTTTTTATTTTTTTGTTTTTCTTCCGAAATGCAGTAAAAAATGCGCGAAACGAAACGGGTTATTATTACCCGAATACGTTCGAACGGAAAACCGTTATCATGGTTAAAATATCTATAATTTCGTCGGAAAGGTATTTGTGGGTAGTCTGAATACCAAGGGGTCCACTGGTCGCGATTCGCATGTACGGATTAAAAATATATACGTAGTGCGCGATACGCAGAAACTCCGGAACGCATCACTTCAATTTCCGAGTCGATAAAAATACCGACGGGCGGCGGGTCAATTTAAAGCCGACATTGACGCCTAATCACGTGTAAAACGGTTTAAACGTGATCCTTCCACCTCGTGTCATGCGTCGTTGCCGGTAAAAACCGTATCAATTAAAAACAATAAAACCGTTACGAGAACGTGGTAACACTGGTACAGGTCGACCGGAAGCAGAAGTCCATCGTCGATAATTCTTTTTATTTTTATATCAATAAAACGGTAGGCGCGGCTTCGACGGCCGATTGTTGTGCACATGACATTCTTATCACGCACAACGTCAATTACCATCTGCGTACATTGACCGGTAACCATGTTAATAACGTAGCCGATTGTGATCGACTAGCGTTTACGTCAAAGACGTCCGTAGACCCTTTTAAATAGGGTGGTTGGGTGACGGGGGAGGCAAAATTCTCACATGTATTCTTTACATTTAGGTGTTTTCCTAGTGTGATATAAATAATAAATAACTAAATAATAAGGAAAAATGGCCATGGGAGAGCGACCGCCCCATTTACCTTTCTTGAAGGCGCTCCTGGTTTACGTCCCATTGATCGATTGGCATTGAATAAAATCCACCCGGCTGGTTGAAAATACGTTATGATACGATTATGCTAATCAATGTTTTTCGATCGAGACGAGATGAGCGCCACACTTTCGCAGATTATTGGATGGCATTATTACATGCGAACATAAAAACGATGCTATCGGATGATGCACACACGTTGATACAACCGAAAAATTCGTACACGATTCGTCAAATTGATTGATACGGCAACGGAGTGCTACGCGAGTATGACGTAAATGCCTATATATGTAATTGTCGTTGACGCAAAGAAGCCTTAATAATTCACCGTGTTATAATGTTATTTCATAGAGAAATAGTTCAAAATTGAATAAGGAATAAAAATTTGTTTTATTGAAAAAATTCATTATCAGGTATGTACAAAGTTAATAAAACTGTGACTGGACATGAAAAAAAAATCGCAACCGAATAAGAAATAATAAAGGAAGGAAAATACACTGAGAACAATTAGTCATTTTACGTGTAGGCAATTTACTATAAAGAAAATAAAAATGTATATTTAATATATTTATTTCAATACATAAACTGTTTTTTTTTTTTTTATTTCTGTATTAATATTATTGCGTTTTAATATTCGAACCTATTGTCACTGATTGTCGGTGAGGGGGGGGGAAGAAACAATGAGATAATTCCGTTATTATTATTGCGCTCCACTGCGTATACGCTCGCTATAGTACACACGGCGTGTGCTGTTGTTGTCGCATAATACCTGCATTATAATATGTATATAAGTTACCGGAAATGCGAATAATCCGGCACTGTTCATTTTGCCTACGCATCATAAATAATGCCGAAAAACACAGGGAAATTTAAATAATTATAACACGGACTAGGCATTGCGAATTCAATGCTCATTAGACAACGTGATAAGTAATCGATTTTGGTGTTGAGGTGTACTGATAGGTAAGAAGTCACGTACAGACGTGTAAGCCTAGAACGATACGCATTCCATTATTTTGACCATCTGCAGTCTAATTTTATCTGAGTACACTACGACTTTTATCAAATAATCGTACTCATAAATCGGTAATTTGCACGATTGACGTACCGTATGTCCAATCGTTCGAACCATTATCAGTCGACGAACAGCCATCGCATTTCGTGTAAACATTGTATATTTTCGAGTCCAATGTAAAATCTAAACTTTAAACAACGATTTAACATGATTCCCAATCGAAATATGAAAAAAAAAAAAATCGATAAGCTATTGGGATTGTGTATATTTCCTAAGACTACGCGACGTCAGACATAATGCCCGAACGATCGACGTTACCGGTTACATAAACGTGTACAACTGGTGTACAGTGACGGAGACACGGCGCTCCGGGTATGCAATTTCACTACCCTGGTGCCCGCGACGTTCGCCACCGACCAGCGTTCCCCGTTCCTCGGAGTTGTTATCATCGTAAGGTTTAAATCGTGAATGATTTGATTCACAGCTAATGGTTGTACGCACGGTGGTAGCAGAAAAGTGAAACCAAATATTCGTGGGAAATTAAGCATCAGCTGAGAATTAAGTACCTAGTGTATGATCACAAAATATCCATAAAAAAAAATAAATAAACCATCATAAAAATCGGTGATAACTGATACACAATAGTATACCGAACAAAATATACGTATCTTAATTAGGCGTAATCAAATAGATCACTGACATTTTATCGTTGAAAATGAATCAGATTATTAGCCGGGACCAATTAATCAACTACTTTCTTTTCCCCGGGACTCAACGCTTTCAAAAAGTCCGCGCTCTCGACGGAAAATAACGTTTCCGAAAAAATACCTGTCCGAAATCGCACGATAAGTCTACGGTGACGATTCCCGACTGTGTTCCTCGAACGACTCATAATCCCATTGTGCGAGGAATTTCGAGTTATTTTCCATGGACACGAATATTTACACTTCCCGGGCGACGTTTCGACTTGGAACGCGGTCACTTGGAACCATTTCCCATTGCGGGGAAACGAGTGCGATTTTTCGAGCGGGGGACGGACCAAAATGAAAAACAACCCTTACCTTTATGTTTGGACATGGTGACGGACTCCAGCGGTTTGTATAGTTTGACGGACGTGGGATCGGTGAACGGCGGCGGAGACTCTGTGCCGGATCTAGAACTGCACTCGTCCAGGTCCATCATCGACTGATGTTGCATTAATTTCGGTCCAAGTTTCTTCACCATGTAGCACCGGGGCATGACTGTTGTGCGTGATGACGATACCGTGGGAGTGGCGAAAATATAATTTATCGTCAGCACATATATATTTATATATTATGTGTGATGATAACGAAATTATATGAGATTATAGTTTTAAAATGGAAAACCGGATTTCTACTTTATATTGTACAAATGTAAACAACTTGAGCACTAAATGATTACGGACAGAAGGAACTATTGCTAATGCAGAGTACATAAACTCGATTCGTTCTGGTTCTCAATCTATGTAAACGTATTGTTTCTCGTTTGAAATAAAAAATAAAATTTACATCAACTGCGATTAATCGCTAATTGTTATTATTGCTATAATTTTTCGCGTACGATTTGTTCTTCAATTTGTAATACCTCGGGTTTTACCGAGTATTGAGCTTTTTTGTGCGTACACACGTTTGCGTTTTTATTTGCACGTGGGTTTACTTCTTAATTTATATTCTTTTTTCGTTTCTCCTTTGACTCGCGTGCGCTATATTTATTATCGCTCTTTGTGTTCCAATGAGAAGGAAAGTTCTTCGGATGCTTCGCGAGCAACAATGTAGCGTTTTCGGCCAGCGGAAAATGCTTAGAAGTAATGTGCTTCTGCTGTCCAAGGAAGAAGAAGATTAAGTTCCGCACGGAAGACTTCGTTGATACACCTGAAACATAAACACGTATTTGTCAAACCATGTACATCGTAAGATACGATAATGTAAAAACGTCGAAATGCAATTATTAAAAAATCAGTGATTCATGATGTGTCGCGCGCACAGCAATACTTATATGGTTCTAGATACTACGTTCAGGTTGAGTATCATTGAGAATCTAAAATATCGAGTATTTACACTAATGGTTTTGATCTTATTCAAGTAATTTTAATAATTCGTATGTGACATTTATTTTGAATTTAAAGAAGTCGTGTGACCGAACGTTGACGGTGACCCCGAAATAAATTTTACATCCAAATCGAATTAACTCAACACATATATATCAAATAATAAATGTTATAGTGTACATAAATATTAATATACATAATTAACCGGTTCTTGATAATCTCCGAAGATCGAATGATTCCGTACAATCATGAAATACATACGTTGTCGAAATTTAATAATATAATACGTTTAAAGAGCGGTTCTCAATTTTTCGATAGGAACACCCCTATATGTTACCAAGATTTTGAGCGAACCTTTTCTTATGAAAATATCATTAAATTTTATTATAAATTTAATGATAAATGTTAGGTTAGTTAGGTTAGGTTAGTTAACCTATGTTATGCTTAGTATAATATTTATATTGACAGTCCTAAACTTTTATCAACTATGAAATGTATATAAAAGAACACCTCATTAGTTATTTTATATAATGGATAGATTAATAATATTGTTGGCGACCCCCAGTTGGAGAATCGATGGTGAAGACGAATATATTACATGTATGCGAGTATAATACGTCGTTTCCTTAGAAATTGTATACGATTCAATGATAAATAGAAATATATTACTCCGTTAAATGACCCGTGTGGAATAAAAGTATATATTCACCGTTATTTATTATTTTGTGCAAATAATAGAATACTTATTTGAACGAAATGTACAACAGTCAGACGACTTGTAATAAAATATTATATTTTCACAACATTTAAATACGTAAGATCTATCTTATAATTATTTATTGTTTTTTTTTTTTTTCATTCAATTCAATTATTACATCTCTAAAACAATAATAAATCGAAAAAAATTCTGATTCATCAACAAAGTAATCCGTAAAATAGGTTTCGAACATTGTATTCAGTTGATACTCGAAGTAATAACGTAATTAGAAGAAGTGATTATGCATGTTCTAATAGAATTTTCTCGAAATGTTAGCACCTAATTTAATCATCTACCATACTTAATTTATAACATTGTTGTATACCGTGATTATTCGACGTTGACTGAAAGGGGTTTAAATTGTTTTTTTTCCCTTATTTTGTTTTTATTTTTTCGCTACAAGGACTTTGGACCGTTTGAAGCTGAGCGCAACCGACGACAACGACATTCGCAAGTCATAAATATTACAAAACATACGCTCGAAACGATATGAAAATATAATACGGTTCGATGTGCATACACGTAAGTTTGCAATTTTATTATTGATGTGCAGTTGAGATGCTGATTTTTATTTTATTTTTTCTTCGGTTTATGTTTTCGCTTTGCCCGCGTTCAGGCAAACCGTGATGATCCCGTTTTCTGTTCGGTCCTTCACGTCATCGTTTTCGTCGTCGTCGAAATCCGATAGCAATTTAACAAGGTGAACACGTCGTGAAACCGACGAACGGTCGACGAGCGAGATACCAACGCACAACAGTAGTGGTTATACATGATTTCCAAGGGGGGGGGCGAAAATAGAGCCAACCCTTCCCATCATTTATATATATATATATATATATACGGATTATAGGTATAAATATATAATAATGTTTATATATTAATAATATTAAACACTTTAACGTCAATGTATTATAAGAAATGATATAAATGTATTGACTTGTAAAATGTATCTTATAATAACTATAAAAATAATATTATTATAGTTGTAATTATATCGGTTGTGCGTGACCGAGACCTAGAGTATGATAAAATACAATATGATAATATATTATCTGCGGTTAGAACGAAAAAATATTTCACTGTCTTATCATGAGTTCGAAGATTTGCAGACAATCGCTATTGGCCCAGCGATATACTAAATTAAAAAAACCAAATCCCAAGGGGACGATCCACCTATCCCCCTTATAACTGCCACTAACACATGCCGTACCCTACCCGCGATGGCCACGGAAAGGAACACCAACGGCGGTTTTGGTGTTCGATCGAAAAGTGCGTTTCGTTAACGCGCACGTGTACCAGTTACTCTCGGTGTACCGTCGCGGATCTTGTCTGGTTCCACGATAATGCACAAGACGTAATGCGCGAGTTTACAAAAAAAATTACAATTAAATTAAGTTAAAAATATCAACTAAATATTAAATTAAGTATTGAGTATAATTAATTTTCCAATAAAAAGGTTTTTCTTGTTTTTGTTTTTTTTTACAGAGTTTATGTTAAATAATTTAAGTCTCTCCAAAATATTTATTACAAGCTGCTACTGATCGTGAGAAGTTCTGCACGTATCACCCTTGTGTGTCGTGACAGTTGTTAACCGATACGCGTATTTCATGCGAACATTTGCCCACCATGATCCACAAGTGTATTATCCCCCCCTCCCCACAGTAGTGATGATCGACGATAAACGCATAACAAGAAATATTCCTAATGAACCCTTTGAAAACACACGAAATTCAGAACAAGTCCAATTTCAACCTTTGCTTTGTTTTTTCTCTTTTTTTACTTATCAACGCATAACCGTAGTTCGTTAAACATCTGCTTCCATTTTTTTTTCGTCTTCTTCAGTCGTTATTTTCGCGTGTAAATCTGATCGATGAAGTTTCTTTTCGTCTTGAACATTCAACGTTCAAGAAGCGAGAAAATATCTTGATTTAAACAAACAAACCAAATACTATAATATTATCTGAGATTTGGAAAATATTGCGAAATCATGAACGATTTTTGGAATATTTTTGAATATTTACAGTCATGATGACAACGTGTTCATACAATACGTCTTTCGCCAGTCGTAGGTGGGTAAACGTAGTTGGATGGAATTAGGTAAAGCCAGTGTACATAAATTGAAACTTTAAACAATGCGGTTCTAACCTAATCTGCAATGAAATGTTTGAAAATAAAAACGATTTACCTACGAGAGTTGCTAGGAAAAAATACAAGAATCCGAATCTTTCTATATACGTATCCTTATGGCGTATAGTGTTTCTGCTTCGACGGCAGCGTTTCGAACTAACGTGAAAACGATTGCGCCGAAAATAAATTTCAAATCGGAAAAAAATCGTTAGATAAATAAAATATGATGTTTCGCAGTAACGTTGTACATCAAACGAATAGCGCATTAGTACGTATCACATCAGTATTCGAGATCGCGAGCATTTTCTAGGACACATCGTCGAACTCGCGTAAAACACTACGGTAAGACTACGCGCCTACTCGAGAAAAGGTCGGGTTTCGGTTCTCCTCTGACATTTTCCAGTTTTTCCAGGGGGGGGGGAAACAAAAAACGAAAAACATAACGGACACAATATATGCAAATCGACAGCCGTCGTCTTTTTTTATGCACGTGGCGACGACCGCGAAACGTGTTGGTGATTAATATTGTCGTCGCGTTACATGCCGTGCCCACGTCACAGCGACCGTGATGACGCGCACTCGCATATCCGAAATAATATAGTGCACCGAAATCAACTGTTTTGACGCGCACCGTACACACACACACATACACACATGTATACATATATTAGTATATAGTTGAGTATATTATCGTCGACCCCCGGACTATAGTGTTATGTTAATTCGGGTCCACCGTGCAGGTACGGAACGCGTTTGTGATGTGATATTATACACCGAGGCGGTCGCCGCACGCGTCAGTCGATCGAGCGAAATGTTGCATACTGTTATTGACGACGTGTTATTCTCGAAATAATTTCATGTTTTTTCCGCGCATTTGATTTTTGTTCTTCTTTTCGTTGTTTTTTTCGTCGTAGAAATCCATCATCCAGAGACAATCATCGTACGTGTATAACTCGCGGAAAAATCATTAATAATAATTTGTAACTTATACGAATCGTACCGTAACAATATGACGTGTTTTGAAGTAACCGAAGAATGTTTCTTTTTTTTTTCTTCTTCTTTTAACACGTATCGGATTCGTACGAAACGAGAACGTTCGTAGCACCGAGTATCACGCTCTATAGAAATGTATACGAATTTCAGTTTTCGATTCGGTTTTCCGACGGAGGGTGTCGTTGATTTTATTGGAACTTTACACAAAACGATACTATTAAACGTTTGCGTGCTCGTTCTGTTTATTTTAACAAGACGTTCATACCACTGTGTAGAAGGAAATATATGATTAAGTAGTCGATTTAAGTATAATAGAGTATTATTGCATGTGCGTACCGTCCTAGAAATCTCAACTAATCGTATAGATCGTTTATCGAATCCGATTATTGTTTCACACAAATAACGTTTGGTGTTCGACACGAAAACCAATCTATACACTTGTAAAACTCACGAAATAAAGTTTACTCGCAGAGTGAAATGTCCCGAGCAAAGCTTAACATATGATAACAACTCGCAACTTGTGCACTTGTCATGGTCTAGATTTTATCTATTTCAAAGTTGGCACATCATCAACATATAAATATTTTTGACATTAACATGTTGGAAATCAGAAAAAAGTCCCTATATAGGCATTTATGTTCAAAGTACGAATCATAATATTTTTGGACTGATTTTATGTCCCTCTCCCCAAAGTTAACCGGCACTTTGGTAAAATAAGCTATTGACTAGGGCAATCTCATAAGGGAACGCCGACCACCCCACTCCAGAAAAAAATGAAGTCGTGCCACTGATTTCAAGCCGGTTCGTTCAAAACAACAAATTTATACATAAATATATCTAAACCATCATGTGATTTACACACGTCGCATGAACAGTGCTGTGAAACGTCATGATTTCTCGACGCTTGCTGAAATACGTGCGGTATTCAGTGGAATTACGAATTTTCT